ATTGGATTGTGTCTCTATGTCTACTTGCTACAAGTGATTCTTTTGTTCCCTTCTCCTGTCCTCTGAAAGAGGCCGAGAAGAGTCCAGGTGAGAGTGGAGGTGGGGTGGGGAGGAAGAGACTCACGAGGTCCATTGACTGTGATGCCGCCTGAAAGAGTCTTGACTTTGGAATGGCAGAAGATGTAGGAGCAGAATTCTGCAACTTGTTCTACAAACTCAGGGTTCAGCTCTTCCTCCTGTAGCTGCTCGAGACAACCAAGGTACTGCCTCCTAGCAGGCCGGTCAAAGACGAAGCACTTCTTCTGGGGAAAGAACTTCCGGATACACAATCGAGGCTGATTATAGCTTTTAAGCTTTCTTTCATTACCTAGAGGAATAAAAATGAGAAGTAGTATACCTTCAATCAAATTACCACAAAGAGTTGATTTCCTAACATTATGATGATAACTAAGGCTAAATAAGGAGCTAAAAATTATCTAATGGGAGCCCTGGGGGCACTGACACATGAGCATAGGACTTTGAACAAAAAGTTGGCGTATCAAATCCCACAACTGCTCCTGGGGAGAAAGATGAGGCTCTCTGCTTCCTTAAAAAAAATAAAATTAGCTAATGATGGAACAGAAATAAAGAAAGGAATATAGTCATGAACAAAATGTTTTTCTCCAAAAAGACAAATTGGATCCAATTAGCCCAGTTATGCAATTTTTTTTCACATCTTCTACAACAGTTGCCAGGGAAGCATGGTTAAGAAATGAAAATATTCAGTGCCTATGCAAAAATCATCAATGTAGACATTGTTATCTGTCCATCTGCTAAATGACCACCAGCCCCAGCAACCTTTTTTCAGCCTCAGTGAAAGGTCCAGGTACTCATCGGCAGTGATGGGCTCTCCATCGGCCTCTAGCTCCAGGGAGAAATCTCTCAGTGTCCACACGAAGGTGGGAAAGAAGCTCACAAAGTCAGCCGAGTCCTCCACCTCCGGTTTCTCAAGTGAGGAACTGAACTGGATGCATTCTGTCAGCTCAGTTGCATAACTGAAATGTCAACTTAGAAAAAGTACGGAAAAACAACAATATTTTTAATTATCTTTTCTTTTCAATGCTTTTTTGAAACGATTTGTTTTCTCTTCCTCGTGTACTTCATTCATTCTACAAACACATAGAGCACTCTTAGGCAGCAGGCATTGTTCTAGGGGCTAATAATTTTGCGATGCATGCCTACCATCATAGAGCTTACACTCTAATGAGGGAGAGAGACAATAAACAATGGCATAGTAAACTAGCAAGCATTGATAAAAATTGTCTTGAAGAACAATGCACCAGGATGAGGGGTCAGAGAAGAACTACGAGGCCCTGCAGTTTACACGATTGGTCAGACAGCCTCTCTGAGCTGAGATTTGCCCAGAGATCTGAAGGCGTGAAGGAAGCGATTCAGACAGAAACCATTGGAGGGACATTCCACGCAGAGGTAACAGTGCTTGCTAATCCTTAGCTAGGAAATGGTTGAGTGTGTCCAATGTAGAGTTAGAAGGCCAATGGGGCTCTGACAGATTCCAAGAAGAGATAGGGGCCAGGCCATATTAGACCTGGAAGTCACAGTAAGGTAAGGGGTTCAAATTTGAATCTATATATAACAGAAAGTTATTGGAGGGTGGTGGAGAATCAAGAATATCAACAGGGAAAACAATTAGGGATTTCTGGAGGCAAACCACATCAGAGATGATGGAGTGCAGGGCTTAGATGAGAGTTATCATAAAGGAGGATGTGGGGGGAAAAATTCAAAAGTGTTTCTCAGAGAACTTATTGATTAATACCCTGTAGGGTACAAGGAAAGAGATCCTGTTGAAGTCATGAGTAGCACTTTTGGCAGCTAACCCCATGATCAGCAGTTTGAAACCACCAGCCACTTCTCAGGAGAAAGGGCTTTTTTTCTACTGCCGTGGAGAGTAGATCTAGAAACCCACAGGCACTTCCACCCTGTCCAACTGGTCATGATGAGTCAGGATCAACTCAATGGCAGTGTGTCTGTTTGTTTTTGTTCTTTGTGTATGGGGAAGGGAGGGGCTATAAGGAAAAACATTATCCAGAATGATTCCAACCTTTTCATCATCAAGTAGGTAATGAGGTGGGAGTTTACTGTGTTGTGTCAGGCTAGGAAAGAGTAGGCCTAGACAGGAAAATTAGGAACTCTGAGACGATGATAAGATTGCTGTTTATAAAAGTATAAAGCTTAGAATAGAGATATAAATTTGGTGTTAATTAGCATATAGATGGTACTGAACATCTTAAGACAGGGCAAGATCAGCTAAGGGTATAGAGTTGGTATAGTTGAGAAGAGGCCTACAACCTAAGAAGCTATGATAGTCAGAGACCAATGAGGAAAAGGTGTAGTCAATGAAAGAGTCAGAAAAATTAGTGTGATATTGTATGATAAATATCCAAACAACCAAGAATTTAGAGAGGACAATATGATTTTTTTTTTCAAATACTATAGAAATACCAAATGAAACGAGGCCTATCAACTGCCCATTAGAGATAGAAATGTGGACGTCACTTTGGCAAACAAACAATTCCATGCAGTAGTCTAAAACGGAGTTTGTTAATAATAGCCAAGACTAAGTGAGGTAGGGAGGCGGAAGACAAAGACAGTGAACAAGGAACAAAATACCTTGAAGAAAACAGGTTTGCTTCGCGAGGGGTTGGGAGACGGCTGCCACAAAGGTGGTACAGACAGTCTGAGGACTCATCGTTCAAGGCAGCCTCTCTTTTTGATTGTGAGTAGAAAGTAAACGTATGTGGAAGTTTAATAAGGAGCAAGTGTGACAACTCACTCACCCGTGAGGGAGAGGAGAGAAAAACACCAGGTCATTGGAGACCACAGGCTGGGCCTGTGACCGCAGCTATGTTGGCAGGAGAAAGCCAGGTGTCCAACAAAGGAAACATTTAGAAAGTGTGGTAACTATTGATAAGTATGCAAAGATTTTATTGAAGTCGGAACATAAGTTTGAAAGCATTTTGAGGGTTGGAAATTAGAGGAGGGATTAGCTCAGCTGGGAGATATCTTGTGTAGTTGAGGATGGTTTGGGACCAAGAAGGTTTTGAGTGCTTAGAGTGATTGAAGTAAACTGGTGAGAATAATGGGATTCGATATGGAATGATGGAAGGGACTTACGAATTCTTCTGTAGTTGTCCGCCTCTATACTTGGTGAAAAAAAAAAAAAAGAACCCTTTCTTTTCCAAATGTGGTGCTATTTGGGACCACCAAAAGGATACTGCAGTTGGTCCATGGCCTGCTGGTTGATGGTTCCCATGCTGTTGTATACGAAGGTGCTGCTCAGGAGTATTGCCAACGCAAAGATCCAGGAGTCATTCTGGTTGTCTCCCTAGAAGCCAGGACAGAGAGCACACAGAGGACTGACTAAGAGAACGTATTTTCAGTTCAGGTAGACCAAGTGGGACCCCAGTTCTACAACCATACTATATGTGGAAACTTACATTACTTTCTTATATATTTAATTTTTTTCATCTGTACTAGTTTTTAACATGTAATTCAGAGAATTATTTTAAAATAAGATATTTGTAACTCATATAAGAATATTAAGCATGAATCATTTGAAATACCTTGCTATTATAATAAGCTACTAATATTCAGACATAGATCCTGAACTTTCCTTGTTCTTTTCCAAGGAAAGAAACATGTTAGACAATAGCTAAAATATGATTTTTTGAGAATATTTTTTACCCCAAGACTTGTAAGCATAATAATTTATCTTTTTAAAAATGAACAAACATCACCAGATCTTACAACTGGACTTGTCATCTTACTAATAGTTCTGCTTTGGATCATACCATTCTCATCAATTCTCTGGATCTTCATCATGAAAAGTCACATGTAGATAGTGCTACTTTCAGAAGACTCAACAAAACATTTTGCTATGATATAGGTGAAAATAATAATGACATGGCTAAAAATGTCTTAAGTCATTATAACTTAATTGGTAATTCGCTCTCTGTATTTATGCTGTGGTGTTTAGGATACACATGGTGGTGTAGTGGTCACGCATGGTCGGCAGTTCAAAACCACCAGAAGCTCTGTGGGAGGAAAACTGGGCTTTCTACTCCAGTAACCACTCTCAGGAAGCCACAGTGGGTCGTCAGTATGAGTCAGCATTGACTCCAGGGCAGTGAGGGAGTTTGTTTAGGACACATGCTCAGGCAGACACTGACTTGCAAACTGACACTCTGCTCACAGGTAAGGTTTACTTTACTCACGTAGACCTGACTTGTGGCAGCTACGCCGCGTGCCCTGGGCACCACTTCAGTGGAGTGGGTGCCAAAGCGATGTTTTTATTGGGTATCACAATTTCCATGGCCAGCTGTGAGAGATGGTTCAGCAGTTAAAAACTCATTGCCATAGGTAATAGTTTCTGTATATGCCATTGTCAAGGAAGGCTACACATAAAATCTTTAACATTTCTTTTTACCTTCTCGACATCTCCCAGTCCCTTGGTGTGCAGCAGGACTAGGGTGTGGTGCGGCATGGTGGGGTGGGGCACACACCACATCCAGATGCCCTTGGTGTGAGACTGCTCTGTGGAGCCCAGAGAGAAGCCTGTGAAAATTGAATTTTGGAGTAGCGATTTATTAGAGTTCTGGATATTGAGATCTAAGTTCACATAATAAAGACATAACTAAAACCACAGATTGTCTAATTACAGTCAAAGAAGATTGAAATTAGAATATTCAGTTTACATTGAAACATTTACCTTAAAGATCATCATAGGTTGGTTGTTAATACATGAACTGGTTAATAAATACCTTAAGAGTTCATTTTCAGAGATGCTGTTTTATTTTCTTACTGCCTTACTCTATGCAGGAGAAAGAGCAGGCTTTCTACTCACGTGAAGAGTTATCATCTTGGAAACGCACAGGGGCAGGTCTACCCTCTCCTGTAAGATCACTAGGGGTTGGAATCAGCTCTATGGCCGTGGGTTGACTTGATCCAGGAAAAGCACTGCTCAAAGAGGAAAACTAAAGCAAATTGTGAAGCAGGTGTGAGCTCACTCTTATTCTCCCAGGGTGAAGCTAAAGATGTTGGCCTAAAGCTAGTTGTAGTGTTCATTCCACCTCTACACTTGCACTCTCTTTGCTGCTGTGCAGTGGGTCCCCCGTCCTGCTGGGGCCTTTGACGTCCTCACAATCTGTTATGTCTGAGCCCGTTGTTGCCACGTTTCTGCTTACATCACCATATTTGGGGTTGGGCCTTGTGGATGGACCGAAGGGACTGGTCATAACTTTGCTGGGGCCACTTACCCTTTTTCTTCCCAGCCAGCTTGTTCATTAGGTAGGATTTGCCTGTGCGGTAGAGCCCCACGATGGCCACCACCACCACAGGCTCCTCAATGGCTGCCAGGATCTTCAAAGCCTCCCGATTGGCTATCAGTTCCCCACCAGTGTTCTCAATGAGGCACACTGGGCCTGGCATGTGGATCTCTGAAGGCATGTCTCTTGTCTGCAAGGGAAGAGATAGAATGGAACACAATTGCTTGATAGTTCACGGAGGTCAAATAATACAAGATGGACTAAATTTTTGTTTCCTGTCCTTGAACTTTCTTTCCTGCTCTAATTTTGAAACTCCAGGTGACAACATCTTGGATGAAGTTAAATGTGATCTCCATGGTAGTCACAAAGCATTATAAAAACATGCACACAGAGAAATGAGAAAAAAAGTACCTAGTGAAAAATCAATAAAAACAAAAGAACAAAAGAAATCAAGGGTAAATAAAAGAAAAGACTAGATATATATGTGACCTATATAAAACAAATAGTAAAATAATAAGAATTATGTCTCATTAGTTATTACTTTCATTGTTCTAGGTATTATTTTAAATACAAATGGATTAAGCTCTCTAATAAAAGCAGAGATTGGGAAATGGATAAAAACTAGTAATCATATTATATACTGTCTACTAGAGACTCACTTAGAGTTGCATAGACAAATACACCAAAAGTAAAAGAACAGGAAAATCTCCATGCAAGCAATTACCTAAAGAGATTTGGATGGCTCTGAAGTAAAATAACCTTGAAGGCCAAATTGTACCTAAAAACAAAGAAGAATCTCATATGTGGATAAAAGCCCAATTCATGTAGAACATGTAACAATATAAATCGATGTTCACTCAACAAAATATACGAAGTATGCACTGGCAGAAATGAAGGAGAAAAAGACATTTCCACCATAATAGTTGAAAACATCAATTTATCAATTTTCCACCAGGGTTCTTTTAGTACTGGATAGAAAATATATAATAAAAGTCAATAAGGATGTGGAGGATTTGGAAAACTCTATAGTCCAACTAGCCTTAACAACTGATAAAGAACACTGTTGTCTACAATAGCACAATGTCAATGTTTTCCAGTGCACATGGATCATCCTCCAGGATAGGGCATATGTTAGACAACAAGCAAGGCACCAGACATTTAAAATGACTGAACTTGTACAAAGTAATGGAAAATACCGAGAAGAGGATGAAAATGAAATCAGTATATAGCAGAGCATATGAGATGTAGCAAAGGATGCAAGGAAAATGTATAGCTATAAATATATTCATTAAAAAAAGATATTTTACAGAAAATAGAGGAAGGAACTAGAGACAAAAGACATTTATAGAAGTATAAATATGGGCTTGTATATATGTAAATATATTAATATATAATGATAGGGATAGAGGTCTATGTGTATATATTTATGCTAAGTATCAAGGTAGCAGATGGACTTTGGGCATCTACTCAAGTCCTCCCTAAAATGCAAGAATGCTTTGCTCTAATAACCTGGCATTCTGTGATGCTCACCCTCCTGACATGATTGCTGAAGACAAAATGGGTGCATAAGCAAAGGTGGTGAAGAAAGCTGATAGTGTCTGGCTATCAAAAGATATAGCATCTGGGTTTGTAAAGGCTTGAAGTTAAACAAGCCGCGATGTACCAGGGAAGCAGCAAAGCCCACATGGAAGAAGAACACCAGCTGTGTGGTCATGAGGTTTCGAGGGGATCAGGTATCAGGCAAAAGAAGATCCAAAACAAAAATCATATAAATGCAAACAAGGGGGGTCAGAGTGGAGACCCAAAACCCATCTGTAGAAAATTGGACATCCCTTCAGAGAAGGGTCACAAGAAAGGGACAAGCCAGCCAGGGTGCAGTGTAGGACCCACGAAGCACATAACACTCCTCTAATTCTTTAATGCTTCCTCTCTCCACCCCCTGGCCCCCGCCCTCCATATCATGACCCCAGTTCTACCTTACAAATCTGGCTAGACTGGGCCATTAACACTGGCACAGACAAGAGCTCTCCACACACAAATCCAGGACAGAGAACCCCTCAGGAACAGTAATGGGAGTAGCAATACCATGAGGGAGGAAGGTGGGGCAAGAAGGGGGAGAAAAGGGGGAACCAATCACAACAATCCCCCCATGAGGGGGAAACCCCCCATGAGGGGGGAAAACAACAGAAACATAGGTGAAGGGAGACAGTGGACAGAGAAATATAGGAAAATAATAATTATTTATAATTTATTAAAAGAGTCATGAGGGTGGGAGGGGGCGGGGGAAGACCTGATACCAAGGGCTGAACTAGAAAGAAAATATTTTGAAAATGATGATGGCAACATAGGTACAAATGTGCTTGATACAATTGATGTATGGATTGTTATAAGAGCTGTAAGAGCCCCCAATAAAATGAGTTATTAAAATTTTTTAAACATTTAAGAAATATAAAAAGAATAGCTGTGTATACTCTAAACCAGTGGCCAATATATGGTGCTGTGTCTCCAATAGCCAGAATTCTTGGGTCCAGGAACCAAGAGGTGGAAGCTGGAGTGGCACCACTCACTATTACTCCTAGTGATCCACTTGCAGCATTTTTGCTTCCTGTCCCAACAACCCTATGCACTTCAGGCCTGGAGGTCCTGGTCCCGAAGGAAGGAACTCTCTCACCTGGAAACAGCACAATTCCACTGAACTGGCAGCTGCAAATGCCCCCTGGCCACTTTGGGCTTCTCATGCCTTTGGATCAACAGGTCACTGTACTGAGTGGTGTGATTGCTCCTGGTTACCAAGGAGAAATTGGACTGGTGCCTCCCTGTTTCCCCGAAAATAAGACGGTGTCTTATATTAATTTTTGCTCCCAAAGATGCACTAGGTCTTATTTTTAGGGGATGTCTTATTTTTCCATGAAGAAGAATACGGTACACATTTATTGTTTTATTAAAAGAGACCTCGCACTTCCTGTCTGTTCCGGCTGTGCTGCAGCCAACAGTGAGCTGCGCAGCAGCACCTGCTGCTAAGGTCCAGAGTCTAGAGTTATGGTAACTTCGGGGGGCCTTATTTTCTGGGAGGTCTTATTTTGGGGGGATGTCTTATATTTCAGCGAGAGGCCAAACTGTAAGTGGGTCTTATTTTCGGGGGATATCTTACTTTCGGGGAAACAGGGCACATGATGGAGGTAAAGAAGAATATGAATGGAATCCAGTAGATTCCATAGACCGACTCTTAGTGCTACCATGCCCTGTGATTAAAGTAAATGGTAAATTACAGCAACCCAATCCTGACAGGACATTTAATCACCCAGACCCCCGGGAATGAAGGTCTGGGTCACCCCAGCAGGCAAAAAACCACAGCCAGCTCAGGAGCTTGCTGAGGGCAAAGGTAATACGCAATGTGTAGTAGAAGAAGGTAGTTCTACCTATCAGTTATTACCATGTGATCAATTGCAAAAGCGAGGTTTGTAATTGTCAGTGTATTTTCTTTATATGTGCTTATTGAATATCTTTCCTTTGTTCATGTATGATATATCAGTTGGACTCAGTGTGTTTTCATTTATATGTATGATAGATGTTAGATGTTAAGTATAAGTGTGACTTCATTAATGTCCGTAAATTATATAGAGCTAAAGAATTGTGTACAGATGCCAAGTTGGCAAGGGGTGAATTGAGGTAGATAGTTTATTGTGCCAAGCTGGCCGATAAACACATGTGGGATTAATTGAAGGTCGGAGAGATAAATAGCTTGGCAAGCCTTGCTTTTTGGTCTCTTGCTCTTTGAGTATCGGACCAGTGTGCAGCTGCCTTGCTTGTTCTGTGCCTCAATTTGCAAGCAACACTACCTGTGGGACATCTAACCCACGGATTGTGTTGCTGTAATTTGAGGTTCCTTCAACACCTGTTTCGCCACATCATTGGAATTTACATCTCTTGAAGGGAACTGAAAGACCCTGTCATCTGGCTGACTGTTGATGACCTGCCTTGCTGTTTGCTGCCTGTGCCCGGATAGCCTGAATTGCTCTACAGAGGACTACTCGACGGCCCTCAAGACTTGAAGGACTGCCAGTGTCTCACAACTGTCTCACGGGAGTGAGTTGCACTGAGCCATTTATACTGCTTTATAATTTAATTAACTGTTTAT